TATATATATATATATATATATATATATATATATTTATGGTAAGTTCTTATATATTTGTTATCACTTTCTTGGCTTGGAGTATTATAATTGTAATTTTCTCATCATAAAATCGGCGGTAACAATTTTGAACACTCCGATTCTCATTACTAGGCCCAATCTAATAATTTTATAATTGTATTATGGTTAGTTGATATTAAAATTTGTATCATAATTTTAAGTCATTATTGTTTCCAAGTAATTGTATGTTTACTATTGTTTATTCGTATTCTATTTCTTAAACACTAGTAAATTTTTAATACATTTATCTTCGGCAAATTAAAATTGTATTTTTTTTTTTGCTGAAAATTAAAGCGTTTTATACTACATTGATGAAGGGGAAGTCGTCATTGACTTATTGTTTCATTATTCTTGAATTTGGAAGTTCGTGGGTAGGATTAAGAATTGGGCCTAATGGGCTGATGATTTAGCACAGTACAAGCACACGCAGCAACATCTAATAACAGGCTCATGATATATACACCTCCTATTTTTTTTATAAATACACTTTCAATCTCTTTTTTTTTAAATAAAATTTCTAAAATATCCTTCTAACTAAATTTTTATTTTTTAAATTTTTTTTTATTCACCCCCTTCTTTTATCATTCTTCTTCTTCTTTTTCTTTTTCTTTTTCTTATTCTCCTTTTTTATCACTATAGTCATTTTTTGATGATTTTATTCTTTTTCATTTTTCATTCTTGATTTTTCTTCTTTTACAATCAACATAATCATATTTTATCTTTCTATCTTTTAAATTATATTTTTCACTTTCCACTCTATTCTTTCTTAAATCCTAACTTTTCATTCAATCATCATTATCTTTTACACTCAATACAAGGTACAAAATTAATATATTAAATTACATTTCATATTTACAATTTTTTTAAACTTATTTAACATTACTTATGTACAACAGGTTCGATCGCAAACGCCGGTGATGAATGAGGAGATAAAGAAACTGGTAAGTTAAATGTGTCATGCGCTTGTAAAATAAGTTTTTTAGCATTCCAGAATAGTAAAATTATTGTTCATATAATTCCATAAAGAACTTTCTGTAATAGTAACTTTAATATTATGGAAAGTACTTTCCAGAATTATGTAACAAAACATTTCCGGAAAATACTTTCCGGAATAAGAATTTAATATTATGGAAAGTATTTTTCGGAACATTTTTTATAATTCTGGAAAGAACTTTCCATAACAGTAACTTTAGTATTATGGAAAGTACTCTCCGGAATTATGCAACAAAACATTTTCAGAAGCTACAGAATTAAATATTATGGAAAGTATTTTCCGGAATAAAAATTTTATTATTCCGGAAAGTACTTTTCATAACAAAAACTTAACTATTCCAGAAAGTACTTTCCGCAATAAATTCTTCATATTATTCTCCTTTTTCGATCATATCTACAAACTTGCTTATATATTATTTTCTAAAATGCTATATTTTTGTTTTTAGTACAATTGTTATATTTTTTTTATCTCTCATGATAGTTTTATTTATTTAATATTTTATTTTTATTTATATGTGCACATGAAATACATGTTAGGAAAATGTCTGAGGTGAGGAATATATCAACCAATGGAACAACAAATAAGACTATTGACTGTAGTGGTGTATTTAACACTAAAGAGGTAATTGAACAATCAATTATTTTTGTTAAGTTATCAATATATAATAATAATAATAATAATAATTGTGTTTCTATTTATATGTTTAGGTTTTTCCATGTCGAGATGCTATGTTGGATTGGGCACGACATGTTGCAAAAGAAAGTGGATTTGTCCTTATTATTTTTAGATCAGATACAAATACAGGACGTGATAAAAGGAAGACATTTGTAATTTTGAGTTGTGAAAGAAGTGGAAAATTTAGAAGATCAAACAAAAATGCATTATCTAATAGGGTGACTAGTACCAAAAAATGTGAGTGCCCTTTCAAACTAAGGGGAACAACTTCAAAAAAGGCTGGAGGATGGACCCTTAAGATAATGTGTGGTTATCACAACCATGATTTAGCAGAAACATTAGTGGGTCATTCATATGCTGGTCGATTGAGTGCTGAAGAGAAGTCTTTAGTTGGTGAAATGACAAAGAACATGGTAAAGCCAAGAAACATACTACTTACATTGAAAGATCGTAATGTGCATAATCTTAGTACTATTAGACACATTTACAATTATCGACAAGCTTATCGATCCTCTATGAAAGGTTCTAGAACAGAAATGCAACATCTGTTGAAATTATTAGAACGTGATAAATATGTGTATTGGTATAGAAAGGTGGATAATTTTGATGTTATCAAAGATATATTTTGGTCACATCCAGACTCCATTAAACTTTTTGGTACTTTTCATACTATTTTACTCATAGATAGTACTTATAAAACCAACAGATATGGGTTATCATTACTTGAGATTGTTGGTGTCACTTCAACAAAGTTAACATTCTCTATGGCATTTGCTTATGTGATGTCTGAGCGAGTTGATAACTTCACTTGGGCACTACAAAAGTTAAAAGGATTGATTACTAATGACAATGATACACCACAAGTGATTGTAACAGATAGAGACCTTGGTATGATGAAGGCCTTACAAATGATATTTCCTAGCTCTACTAATTTGTTATGTCGTTTTCACATCAACAAGAATGTGAAGGCTAAATGCAAGATGGTAGTTTATCCAAAGGAGAAATGGGACTTAGTAATGGATGCATGGGATGATGTTGTGAATTCTTCTAATGAGGATCAATATGTGCAACGTTTGACATTATTTGAGAAGGTTTGCTCAAATTTTCCTATTTTCAATGATTATGTGAGAGATTCATGGTTGATTCCGCACAAGGAAAAATTTGTCACTGCATGGACAAATAAGGTGATGCATTTGGGTAACACAACAACCAATAGGTAAGCTTAAATTTATATTTTTATAACTTATCGTCAAAATATATTATAACTATTAGTATGATAATTAATAATTTAAATACAATTATGATTATGCTAATAATTCTTTTTGTTATTATTATTATTATTACTACTACTACTAATGTATTATTATAAATATTACTCTATTCAAATAATTTATCATGAAATATATTATAATTATTATGCTATTTTTTGTTATTATAATAATTATGTCAAAAATATTATGTTAATTATTATTATTATCATGCTAATTATTTATATAATAATGATTATTATAATTATTATCTTAGTTATTATGTGTTACTTAATAGGGTTGAGGCTGCACATTGGAGGTTGAAGATGTTTCTTCAACATAGTAGAGGGAATATGTGTAATTGTTGGGATGCTATGAATAACATGATTACACTACAACACACAGAGATTAAGTCATCATTCGAGAAAAGTATAAATGTAGTGGAACATAGACACAATAATTCATTTTACATTAAGTTGCGTGGATTTGTATCGAGGAACGCATTAAGTCATATAGCTTACCAATATGATCGGGTTAAGACCATTGGTATTGACAGTTCTATATGTGGTTGCACAATTCGAACTACACATGGTTTACCTTGCGCATGTGAGCTTGCTAGATACAGTACAATGTGTCAACCAATTCCCTTAGATACAATTCATAGTCATTGGAAGAGGTTAAATTTTGGTGACCAAGGGAAAAACCATGAAGGTAACGTGTTATCACTGCAACCTTATATAGATGCTTTGCTAAAGCGATTTATGGAAGTTGATAATGTTGGAAAAGTAACTATACTTGAAAAATTGCGTGAGCTAGCATTTCCTGATACAACTTCATTGTATCCACCTCCTGAAAAGGTAAAAACAAAGGGTGCACCAAAGGGTTCAGGGTCAAAGAGAGATAGATCAACTAAGCGTGATCCTTCTTTTTGGGAGCATGTTGATGCAGTAGTTTCTATCCATGATAGCACATCAACTCACCCTTCATCTTATAAATCAACCCATGATTCTAAACGTAGGAAAGTTTTACCATTTATGGACTCTTTTCCGATTGAGCTTCATCCATTTATTGAAGATATTATTGATGTTAAAGCGGATGGAAATTGTGGTTATCGTGCAGTTGCAGCACAACTTGGTATGGGTGAGGAATCATGGTCTCTAGTTCGTCAAGATTTAATTAAAGAGCTTCAACAGTGGAAGGATGATTACGTCGAACTCTTTGGTAGTGTTAGCCGAGTGGATGTAATGAGACAATCTTTGTATGTTGATACACATGCATCTGTTGATAAGTGGATGACCTTACCAGATATGGGTTATGTAATTGCCTCAAGATATAAAGTGGTTCTCGTCACTTTATCCTCACAACAAAGTATGACATTTTTTCCTCTTAGAGGATCTCCTCCATTATCCAAGTCAAGTCACCGACTTATTACTATTGGGTTTGTAAGTAATTGTCATTTCGTGCAGGTATGATATGATGCATATTATTTTAAATTAAAATTTTAATCTAATTATAAGTTATTAACTTTTTTAATTTAAATTAATTTACAGGTTATTTTGAAGGCCGAAGCTGCATTACCTCCCATTGCTTTGCAATGGTCCAGATATTGCAAAGTTGAATCTCGTTTTTGGCAAACTCCATATATTAGTCGTATGCAACAGAAAAACAAAGACCTTTTGGCGTGGTGGTCGGCCGATATGCCAGGGATCGACCCCAATTTCTTATGCCACAAACTCTCAGTGTGCCGAGAGGCGAAACCGGTTGCCCAACAAAAACGAAAGACGGGGGAAGAGAGGAAGAAGGCAATTGAAGCAGAGGTATCCAAGCTCATGGAAGCGGGTTTTATCTAAGAAATCTAGTACACAACGTGGTTGGCCAACATTATCATTGTCAAAAAGTCGAACGACAAGTGGCGGATGTGCACTGATTACACAGACTTGAACAAGGCATGTCCCAAGGATGCCTACCCACTACCGAACATAAACCGATTGGTTGACGGTGCGGCCGGCCATAGGTTCTTGACCTTTCTCGATGCATACTCGGGGTATAATCAAATCCGTATGCACCCCCGAGACGAGGACAAAACGACATTTGTCGTAGAATCCACCAACTACTGTTATCAAGTAATGCCTTTCGGCCTGAAGAATGCCGGGGCCACATTCCAGCGACTCATGGACAAAATCTTCGGTGACCAGATTGGAAAAAACATGGAGGTTTACGTAGATGATATGGTGGTCAAGTCGGCCGACCCGCCTTCCCATGTAGCCGACCTGGACGAAGTTTTCCACGCGCTTCGGAGGCACCAAATGAGACTTAATCCTGACAAATGTGTATTCGGCATCTCGGGCGGCAAGTTCCTGGGTTTTATGTTTTTCTATTTTGTTATATGCCGTAAATGCAAACTTTTATGATTGTTTTTATAAGATAATTTAAGTTTGACCACTTAGTACTGGATAATTTATTTAAATTTGTTGTGTGGCTGACTAGTGCACTCAATATTCTAATTTATCCTTGGACTTGTTTCATGCCTACCACTTACTCGTTTCGAAAGTTTATGTATTCCTGACGAAAAAAAAAAAGAGATAATTTTATTTTCATTTATAAACTATTTTTTAATTTATATTTGTTATAATATGTTTTACTTACAATGGTATTTTACGTAATATCTGAAATAATAAAATAGTATTACAAGACCAAGAAATATGATAAAAAGTAAAAATAAACCACCTGTTAGAATAGTCATAAATTATAAAGAATTGTAAAATAATATTGTCATAGTAAAAGTGCTAAAATAACAAACAAACAAAATTCACCACATAAAATAGAAAATTGAATTGAATTCTAATATAAGAAGAATTGCTTGTTCGTGATGGAAGGCGACCTGAACTACACACATTCACCCCTGCTACCAAGAGCTCAGATAGGGGTGTTCAAAAAATTAAATTAAATTAAATTATTGTAAAAATTAAACTAAACTAGATTATAAAAAATTAAACTAAATTTTATAAAAATTAAACTAAACCATATTTTAAGTTTAGTTTTTAAAACTAAATTATTATAAAAAGTAGTTTAGTGCACTGTAATTATAAAAAAATTTATTAGGAAATGTTTTAAATAATTAATTAGAATTAAACTAATAAATAACTAAATTGGATTAAACTAGAAAAAAACTAAATTATATTTATAAAAATTGAACTAAAATAAATTTTATGTTCAGTTTTATAAATCTAAAACTATTTTCTAAAGAGTAGTTTGTTAGACCAAATTGTTAATAAAATTGATTTCTCATTATTAATGTCTTTTTTGTAACTTTTCAATTTTATAATAATAATAATATAATAATAATAACCTTTTTGAAAATTAGGGTGTTACAGTTTACATCATTATTTACTAAAAAAGTAGATTATGTAGACATTACTAAGGATTGTACGACCATATGTTATAATTTCGAATAAGATTGACCTACTAGAGGTATGTGGTGCCCGAGCTTCTATGTGAGTTAAGTATTATTCCTTCTCTTCTTGGGATTAATTTATAGGGGATTGATTCCTTATCTTTTTGGGATTATCCTTTATGCTGGCATAGATCTTGCTGCGTATGAAACCTTGAAAGATATGTCCAAGACGTATATTCTTAGTAAGATGATTGTTATATTCCCACTCATGAACAACACACTCTGAGATTCTAAGTGCGGGTCAGGCCAATCGATTTGTGTATTTATACTGACCTTCTTTTACTTATGAGCAGATAATATGAATCCGTATATGGAGTTTATATTAAAATATTTTTAACTATACTCATTAAATTTGTGGAAATTGAACTTTTTTTAATATACCAGTCCCCATTATATCTCTTTCTCGTCAATTAGTTATTAAGTTATTTTCAAAGGCATGTGTGCCTGCCATTTTATTTCTAAGTGAGTTTATTTATGATGGTATTATTGGATAGAATCCTGGCAAACTAGGTTCTATAATGCATGTTTTTCTACTTAATCATTGTCAATTATCCCTCTTCTGGGAAACAATTTGAAAGACTCTAATTTTGTGTTTTTAAGTATTCTGTTTAGTTTTTCAATTATATTGCAATCCAGCAACATCACTGGACTACTCCATAAGGCCATGTAGATCAATTACAATGACATTAATTAGCAAATGAATATGTATCATAAATCAATCAGATTTCTTACTAATTTATTGTTAAAATTGGCAATGATAAACCTAGATTTGCGATATCCTGCCCGAAAGTTTGTTTTCTTTTTTATTAATATTTTCCCAGCTACCAGTGGTGACACCATTTTGTAGAAAGAAAGTGAGTATAACACACGCAGGCGTAGGACTATAGTAATAAAGAGGGAAAAAAAAGATAAAAGTTCTGCATAAGTATAGAGTAATTAAAACTTTTTTTATATGACAAAAAAACATACACGCAGGCATGACTATATTCTTCACCGCACTCACAAAATAGTAAATGACTAATATCCAAGTCTAAATTAATTTCTGTAGAAAAAAAATCAAAAAAATATTGCAGATAAACTCACAAAATAGTAAATGACTAATATCCAAGTCTAAATACAAACAATATGACTAATATGATTTGTTTCACTAATATGAATTGTTTCACTAATATGAATTGTTTCTTTGTTAGCATTATCTAAAGTAGATATCTCAAAAAGAAAAAAAGTCTCTTACAGTACTAAAAGACCAAAATATGTTAACATAAAGAAAAGAGACCAAAGTAAAATTTCACTATTATATGGTAAAATATGGTAAATTCAACCCTTTCTCCCTTTTTGATGTGTGAATTTTTCCCCACTCCCAACACGTGCCATGATCAATGCCTGTCTAGTTATATCCCAAATTTCAGTACCTTCTATTGCCAATCTTCTATCAAATACCATTTGCAAAATATCATAAATCTTCTTACAACTCTTGCACGTCTCCTACACATAACAATAAATTTAGAATTATTTGATGCATTTTGAAATGAAAATATACAAAGTTATTTAAATGAATGACATAATCTTACCCCTACAAAATGAGGGCCATTAATACTTGGATAATGAGAAATTGTAGCAGGTTGCATTTGAGGCACCTTAGAAGTCTCTCTCTCCTGTGGTGGAATGATCAATGGGTGAGAAATCCGAGAGAACCATTGCATATATCCATCTTCACAATCTATTGAATGCTCTTGTTGATGGCCTATAGCAGCAACATCCACCACATAATTTGCATAGTGCAACCATATATCATCAATCTCCTCAAGAGAAATCACCACACTAGTAACATGTTGAGGTGATCTTGGGATGTGTTGAACATGTCCATATTGACGTAATACCCGCTCAGGCAAGTGTGCTTGCTTGTAGGTACCCCACTTAAGCCACCCTGAATATAGTGTTATATCTTCAAATGGTCGATAATCTCTATGATGACTATAAGGCATCCAACAAACTTCATTAATGATGATTGCATCCAGTTCCTTCCTATATGGAAGCACGTGGCCTATACTCTTGCTATGTGACCAACGACTAGCACAAGGATTTTGCTCCAAGTATTCCATGGACAACTGACGGGAACCAATCCGAGGAAAGTGCTCAAATATCCATGCCTGTTTCAAAATTAATAACCCAAAGTAAATTAAATAAAGTCAAAAGCAATACAAAATTTTTACATTAAGCATAAAATAGTAAGAAAAGTTTTCACCGCTAAAAGGGTCATGTAGCCACCTATTTGCTTAGTGCTATGGACACAAGCATCACCCAAGTACTCATACAAGAATGTCAAGGTAGCTGCACCCCATGCATAATCACTGCAAGCTGAAAGGTCACGAAATAGGTCCAAGAATGCTACATCCACATATGCTGCGCTCTTGTTAGCAAAAATTGTGCAACCAACCAAGAATAGAAGAAAAGCCCTTGTAGCAAATTCCCAACGCTTCTCTTGGCACCTCGCATCATAAACATCTCTCAACCAACTCATGCGAACATGAGCACCTCTTGTAGCCCTTATCTCAAGGATTGCATCCTTGTGTGAGACTCCTAACAAATCCTCTAAGTATACACATGCAATGTCATGGTCCATGACCGGCTGACTAAAAAGTGCACCTCTAATTGGTAGGTGCAATAAGCATGACACATCATCAAGAGTGATGGTCATCTCTCCTATTGGCAAGTGGAATGAGCTTGTCTTTGGATGTCATCGCTCAACAAATGCAGACACAAGACCTTTATCCACCATCTGGTAGTTGCAAAGTAGAAGTTATGCCAAGCCAGACTTATCTACCAATTTTTGTATTTGGTGGTGCTTGATGACAAAACTTTTTACTTTTCTTCCATGATTGACAATCTTAAGCTCACCACGATCCTAATGTTTTATGATCTTGTCATTATAAAAGTTTATTAAACATCAAATTTAAAAAATCCAACAACATTAATTACCTCGCCACTCCATAAGCGGGTTGCAACATGGTCTGAAAAATTCCTAAGGACCGACAAATCCTCAGGGCCTCCTAGAAACGACCTCGGTGCTTGAGGGTTTACAACACCATCTAACATGACCTCTTGAGGCTCCTCGTGATCATCGACTATAGGTACTTGAGCATTCACATGTTGCTTATCTTTTGTTAGTCGTTGACGCTTTCGTGCAACGCTACCACCTCTTGTCCGTGCCATAACTTCACATAACGATAGATGATCGGTCAATTTAAAAAATACAAAGACAATTGATCAATCAATTTCAAACACACAAACCCTATAAAGAATCCTAAAAAGAAATGTAAACATGAGATACAATGTTAACAAAATAGAGAAACAATGAGCGATAATAAATTGCAAACAATAAGAACAAAAGAATAT